TTCTGCTCATTCTAAATTTGTCAAATGGCCTAAATCTTCTAAAGTGAAGGAGAATCATTTTAAAATAATAAATAAGATATATCCTGTAGCCATGTTTCTGCAAAGAAGATTTAAATTTCATGTTGATTTGTGTGTCTGTTGTAAATCACAAGATGAATCCCTCGAGCAATTTTTTTAAATGTCAATACAAAGTGTTTGGCCAGACATCAGAAACTGGATTAATCTCAAACTTAACATTCCTTCTTTTCATGCTGATGACATTTTACTTTATGTGGATAACTGAAGCTCAGCTTTCTCTGATGCCATAAATATAGTCGTACTTATAGCAAAGCACCACATTCTCTGTAGTAAGAAGTGGGATAATAAGTCCTCCTTCGTGTTTTATGAACAATTTTAAGTCATACTATTCTTCATTAAGTAGATTAAAAAACTGCAAAACTGCTAAAATCATCTCACAACAGATACAAACTTATTGTTTTAATTAAAACCATGTTTTTCAAGAAAAAAAAACGTATGAGCTTGTCAGCAGGTAAGGGGCGTTTACCTTCGGGACAAATTGAGGTTGTCGATTGGTCAGTTACTGACACGCCTTCTGGGTTGATTGACAGGTCGCGAGGATCCGATTGAAAAAAAAAAAAGCAAAAAGAAAGCTGCAGCAGCCGCTGGGAGGAGGCAGGGCTGCACACATGCAGTGGAAGTGTCTCTGTGCAGCGCAGGGCTCCAAGTAAAGCAGGAGATAACCAGATATTTTGCTTGTGCCCTCACTGCCCTGGGCCCCTTAGAGATCATGGGCCCCTGGGCAGTTGCCCATATGGTTAATCCGGCCTTGTATCGTCCACCAGGCGCTTACTCACAGTTTTTGTCTGAATTCTCAGAATTCTTTACTGATTTACTATTAAAGACTGATAAAATCATCATAATGGGTGATTTCAATATTCATGTAGATGTTGAGAGTGATAGTTTAAGCTTAGCCTTTAATAATTTAATAGACTCATTTGGTTTTACCTAAAATGTCCGCACATCTACTCATTCTTATCATCACACTCTTGATTTAGTTCTGACCTATGGTATAGAGATTAAGGACTTGGAAATAGTTCCTCAACCATTTTTAATAACCTTTGAGTTTACATTAAATGACTACACAGTCACTGAGAGTAAATTTCATCTCAGCAGGTGCTTATCAGAAAATGCTGTAACCAAATTTAAACAATCGCTTCCATCAATGTTTTCCTCTGTCTTACAGAGTAATGCATCAGAGAACAGAGACTTAGATCATCTAGTTGATCATCTTACAACTTCAATGCAAACTTCACTTGATAAAATTGCTCCACTGAAAAAGTAATCAGAGGAAACTGTTTCCTTGGTTCAATTCTGAGTTACGTACTTTAAAGCAGACATCTAGAAACCAGGAGAGAAAATGGCGCTCTACTAATGTTGAAGAATTTTATTTAACTTGGAAAGATTGTCTGCTAACGTATAACAAAGCTCTCCGTAAAGCTAGAACTTTATATTACTCATCTTTAATAGAGAATAAAAATAACCCTATAACCCTAGGTTTCTGTTTAGTACTATTGCTAGACTAATTAAAAGTCCCATTTCTGTTGAACCATGTATCCCTACAACTATAAGTGGTGATGACTTCATGAGATTCTTTATAAATATTTTAGAGAAAATTCAAACCATCCTTCTACTATTTCTAGTCCCCTGTCAAATGAGGCAACTTTAAAAATTTCACTAGAGCCTGATTTATGTTTGGACTGTTTTTGTCCTGTTGAGCTCTCTGAATTATCAAAAATAATAACCTCATCCAAACCATCCACATGCCTGCTAGATCCCATCCCAACCAGACTGTTTGAAGAGGTATTTCCCCTAATTAATGTTCACATTTTGGATCTACTTAATTTGTCTTTAATGGATGGTTATGTAGCACAGCGCTTTAAGGTTGATGTAATTAAACCTTTACTTAGGTAGTCTGACCAACTATAGACCTATATCTAATCTAACTTTCATCTCAAAATTTCTAGAGAAAATACTTGCAGGTCAGTTGCGTGAACATCTACAAAGAAATAATCTGTTTGAAGATCTAAAAAAGTTAAATCTGGTCCTCTGGACATTCAAAAAAACAAAACAAAGCAAATCAACAAAAAATGTAGAAACGTTTCGTCTCTCATCCGAGAGACTTCCTCAGTCTGAGGAGCTGTATTCAGCTCAGTCTCTTAAATAGCACCGTCTCAGGGTGGATCAGGGTGTTTTGTTTTTTTGAATATCCAGAGGACCAGATTTAACTTTTTTAGATTTTTCTACCTGGATTATTGAGCATGCATCAGGATAATCTGTTTGAAGAGTTTCATTCAGGGTTTAGAGCTCATCATAGCACTGAAACAGCACTAGTAAAAGTAACTAATGATATTCTCACGGTCTCAGACAATGGACTAGTGTCTATACTGGTCCTGTTAGACCTCAGTGCTGCATTTGATACAGTTTCACAATATTTTACTACAGAGGCTTGAATATGATATTGGGATTACAGGAACAGCTCTAAAATGGTTTAAATCATTTCTGTAATGATTGCGGTGTACCCAGAATGAAAGACCAGAACTGAACAGACACCAGGACTCAGATAATAATTTAAAGTGTTTATTTACAGGTTGGTGATAAATAAAACATCAGTGAGGGAAACGGGAACACCTGGGGAGAGAGCGGTAATTTAAAGGGCTGTGGTTGGATGAGGATACATCTTGTTGAATAATTCTTACGGTGTGAAGCAGGAAACAGAATGAGAAGGCATTTTGTCCAGATGGTGTCCAGTGGCACAAGGTGAAGCAACAAGTAGATTTAGGCAAGTGGTGGAAGGCATCCAGCAGTTGTAGGAGAAAAAACACGATATTAGTTTTCACTAATATCATAGAATAACTGGCCAGAACACAACTACCATTGGTAGGCAATGTCCCAGCGCCTGCAGAGTGGTTCCTGAATCTTCTTATACTCCTCCTGGGTGTTGAGTTGATCATCTGCAGCTGGTGCCAATTAGGAGTGTAGAGGAGAGAGGAAGGCAGGGTGCAGGGCAGGATCCTTACACTATCTGATAGATTCCAGTTTGTAAATGTAAATAATAAATCTTCATACACCAAATTTAGTCATGGAGTTCCTCAGGGCTCAGTGCTTGGAGCAATACTCTTTACTTTATATATGCTTCCATTAGGTAAAATTATTAAACAGCATGGGATAAATTTTCATTGTTATGCTGATGACACACAATTATATTTGTCCATTAAACCCAATGAATCCAATCAGCTACTTAGACTACAAGCATGTCTTAAAGACATAAAATCCTGGATGACCCTTAATTTTCTCCTTTTGAACACAGACAAGACTGAGGTTTTGGTTCTTGGACCTGAGCACCTTAGGAATGAATTTTTCAGTCTTTCTCCCTCCTTAGATGACATTAATCTGTCCTCCAGCTCTAATGTTAAAAAAATTGGTGTTATTTTTGATCAGGACATGTCTTTTATCCCTCACATTAAAAACGTTACTAGAACTACCTTCTTCCACCTGCGTAATATCGCTAAAATTAGAAACATCTTATCTAAAAATGATGCAGAAAAACTGGTCCATGCATTTGTCACATCTAGACTGCACTATTGCAATGGTTTATTATCGGGATGTCCAAATTCCTTAAAACATCTTCAGTTGATTCAGTTGATTTTTTTTTTTTTTTTGTCTGCCTCTGGTCTTGGGGGTCGGGTCTCTGCTGCTTCACGGTTACTATTAAATGTTCTATTAGAGAAGCCTTATACACTTATGCATGCTCACAACCACACACAAATAGATGCAGGGATGCTTATGTAGGCTTTATATGTAGATATATAGATATGTATGTAAATGTATATCCATGTGTATGTATGTATGTATATAGGCGTAGGTATGGGTATATATATTTATGGAAACTTACTGCAAAGCCATGAATATTTTAAGTCCTTTATACATATGTATTTTGTTGCTGTGTTTTGTCATGCTCTTTGCAGGTGAACAGACAGTGGCCGGGTGTTTTGCTGTGTGCTCTCTTTGTGTATATTTCTTATATTTTGGAGTTTTACTTTGTCTTTTCTTTTTTCTATCCTATTAAAAAAAAAAAAACTACCCTAGATAATCACTAGAATAAATATTTCATAATAATGGTGTGGAGAGGATGGCTGTAAGGGGAGAAGGGAGGCCATCCAAAAAACAAAAAAAAACATCTTATCTAAAAATGATGCAGAAAAACTGGTCCATGCATTTGTCACGTCTAGACTGGACTATTGCAATGGTTTATTATCGGGATGTCCAAATACTTCCTTAAAACATCTTCAGTTGATCCAAAATGCTGCTGCCAGAGTCTTAACTATAGGATTTAG